TATATATTTAGGATCGTTAGCTCTTCTTGTTGCATTGATCCTTTTACCATTATGTAATGTCCCTCTTTGTCTCTTATGATCTTTGTTGCTTTAAAGTCTAATTTATCAGAGATGAGAATTGCAACTCCTGCTTTTTTTTGCTCTCCATTTGCTTGGTAAATCTTCCTCCATCCCTTTATTTTGAGCGTTTGTGTATCCTTGCATGTGAGATGGGTTTCCTGGATACAGCACACTGATGGGTATTGACTTTTTATCCAATTTACCAGTCTGTGTCTTTTGATTGGGGCATTTAGTCCATTTACATTTAGGGTTAATATTGTTATGTGTGAATTTGATACTGCCATTTTGGTGCTAGCTGGCTGTTTTGCCCTTTAGTTGAGCTGGTACTTGTTGTTCCTTTATATGTGTAGAGCCTCTTTCAGGAGCTCTTGTAGAGCTGGCCTGGTGGTGACGAAATCTCTGAGTACTTGCATGTTCCCAAAGGATTTTATTTTTCCTTCACTTATGAAGCTTAGTTTGGCTGGATAGGAGATTCTGGGTTGAAAGTTCTTTTCTTTAAGGATGTTGAATATTGGCCCCCATTCTCTTCTGGCTTGTAGGGTTTCTGCTGAGAGATCTGCTGTGAGTCTGATGGGCTTCCCTTTGTGGGTAACCCGACCTTTCTCTCTGGCTGCCCTTAGTATTTTCTCCTTCATTTCGACCCTGGTGAATCTGACGATTATGTGCCTTGGGGTTGCTCTTCTTGACGAATATCTTTGTGGTGTTCTCTGTATTTCCTGGACTTGAATGTTTGCCTGCCTTGCTAGGTTGGGCAAGTTGTCCTGGATAATATCCTGCAAAGTATTTTCCAGCTTGGATTCATTCTCTTCGTCGCATTCGGGTACGCCTATCAAACGTAGATTAGGTCTTTTCACATAGTCCCACATTTCTTGGAGACTTTGTTCGTTCCTTTTTACCCTTTTTTCTCCAGTCTTGCCTTCCCGTTTTATTTCATTGAGTTGATCTTCGACCTCTGATATCCTTTCTTCTGCTTGGTCAATTCGGCTGTTGATACTTGTGCATGCTTCACGAAGTTCTCGTGTTGCAGTTTTCAGCTCCATCAATTCACTTATATTCCTTTCTATTTTGTCCATTCTTGTTAGCATTTCGTCAAATCTCTTTTCAAGGTTCTTAGTTTCTTTGCATTTGGTTAGAACATGTTCTTTAAGTTCACAGAAGTTTCTTACTACCCACCTTCTGAATTCTGATTCTGTCATTTCATCACACTCATTCTCCATCCAACCTTGTTCCCTTGCTGGCGAGGAGTTGTGATCCCTTTTAGGAGGAGAGGTGTTCTGGTTTCGGGTGTTTTCATCCTTTTTGCGCCGGTTTCTTCCCATCCTTAAGGATTTATCCACCTGTCGACTTTGTAGTTGCTGGCTTTCAGATTGGGTCTCAAATCTTTCAGATTGACGTTCTGTTTGTTGATGATGAGGTTATTTCTGCTTCTTGGTTTTCCTTCTGACAGTCTGGCCCCTCTGCTGTAGTTCTGCTGAGGTTCACTCCAGGCCCTGCTTGCCTGGGGTTCACCTGCAGCTGCTGTTGAACAGCAAGGGTTGTTACCAGTTTTCTTCTTCTTCTATCTTTGTCCCAGAAGGATACCCGCCTAGTGTCAATCTGATCTCTCCTCTATGAGGTGTCTTTTTGGATATATAGGGGTCAGGGAGCTGCTTGAGGAGACGGTCTTTTGTTTATAGGAGCTCAAATGGTGAGCTGTGAGCTCTGTTGTTGTTCATTCAGAGCTGCTGGGCAGGTACTTTTAGGTCTGCTGCAGCAGAACTCATAAACTGCTTTTTGTTCCCAGGTGCTCTGTCCCAGGGATTTAGGTCTTTATTTATGAGTTTCCGTTATGCTGCTGCGTTCTTTTTTTTTTTTTTTTTTTTTTTTTCCTTCAGACCTGCCCAGCCCAGCAAGGAGGCAGCCTAGTCACTGTCGGCCTATAGCAGCTTTACTGAGCTGCTGTGGGCTGCACCCCACTGCCGAGTGAACTTCCCTGCAGTCCTGTTTATATGGGTGTAGTTAGAACTGCTTTGGGGATGGCGGCCCGCCTCTGTTGGGGCGGAGTCTCTGCTGTGGCATGTTGCCTTGGCAACGGCGGGCTGCCTCAGCAATGGCAGGTTGCCTTGGCAACGGCGGGCTGCCTCCGTAATGGCGGGCGCCCCTCCCCCACAGAGCTGGACCGTCCCGGGTTCAGCTGCGCTTGCCGTGAAACTCTCAATCCAGAGTTTCTGGTTGCTGTTCTTTTGTGGGGGTGGGGCCAGCCGAGCCTGATCGCCTGGCCCCCTGCCTCAGAGCCTTTTTTAAGTTGGTGTTCCAGTCGCCTGTTGAAGAGGCGCCGGGGTCTGTTTGTTTTCCCCTGCGGCCACTCACTGCGCTGGCTTAAACAGTGGCACTGAGGTTTGTGGCGCTTTTTTTTCTTTTCTTTTTTTGCCCTGGAATCTACTGTCCTGGTTCTCTGCTCAGTCCCCTTTTTGAACCAGCATATGGGCGACTTCCCGTGGCTCCAATCGCCAGCCAAAAGGGCACCCGGACTGGTGTATTTTGTACGGAGAACCGCGGCTCCGGGGCGCCGACAAAGCAGCCGCGCGGGGCAGAGCAGCGGCGCTGGTCGGCACCGGCCGGCGCTGGCCGGCACAGCAGCAATGGCCACAACAGCCACGCTGGCGAGCGTGGAGCACCTCTGCCCGGGAATTTCCTAGTCTGTGGGCAATAAAAACGCGGCGTCCACTCACCCTCTGCGCTTTCACTGGGAGCTGCAATCCTGAGCTGTTCCTAAACGGCCATCTTGGATCCTCCTTCAACCTCTTTCTTTTATAAGGATCTTTGTGATTGCTGGGCATGGTGGATCCCACCCATAATCCCAACACTTTGGGAAGTCAAGGCAGGAGGATCATTTAAGGCCTGGAGTTTGAAACTAGCCTGGACAATATAGCAAGATCCTACCTCTACGAAAGCATAAAAATAAATATTAGCCAGACATGGTGGTGTGTGTCTGCAGTCCCAGATACTTGATAGGCTGAGGTGAAATAATGTCTTTAGCCCAGGAGTTTGAGATCAGCCTGGGCGACATAACTAAATCTCATCTCTACAAAAATGAGCTGGGTATGGGTGACATGCATGTGTAGTCCCAGCCACTTTGAAGTCTGAGGTGGGAAGATCACCTGAGCTTAGGAGGTCAAAGCTATAGTGAGCTATGATCATATCACTGTGCTCCAGCCTGGATGACACAGCGAGATTCTGTCTCAAAAAAAAAAAGAAATATATATTTGGTCTCTGTCCCTGGTCCCTGGCACAGAGCTTTGAAAGCTTATAAAGACCTCAGTGTTAGAGGTGATAGGAGCATCTTTAGTTTTAATATTTGGTCTTGGTCCCAGCTTTCTAACACAAGAGACTCTAAGAACTTTGGGATCTCCAGCATGCTAAGAATGCATTTGGAGATGTGGTTGAGATGAGTGGGTGGCTCCTTGCTCCTGGGTTTCTTCAGGAGGAGGGCTGATTGCCCAAGAAGGAAACCACATGATTAGAGGCTTAGAACTTTCAGCCTCACCTGCTGAACTCCAGGAGGTGAGAGGGGCTGGAGATTGACTTAATCACCAATGGCCAAAGATTTTATCAATCATGCTTGCATAATAGAGTCTCTGTAAACACCCTGAACAACAGAGTTTACAGAGCTTCTGGGTTGCTGAATACAGGAGGTGCTGGGAGGGAGGCACGTTCAACAGAGAGCATGGAAGCTCTGTGCCCCGCCCACTTACCTTCCCTTGGGCATCCATCTTTCTTTCATTTCTTTCTCCTTTTCTTCCTTTCTTTCTTCTCTTTCTTTTTTTTTTAAGACAGGGTCTGGCTCTTTTGTCCAGGCTAGAGTGCAGTGGCACAATCTCAGCTCACCACAACCTAAGCTTCCCCAGTCCCCAGCTCAATGCATTCTCACCTCAGCTTTCCTAGTAGCTGGAACTACAGGTGCACACCATCACACCTAGTTATTTATTTATTTTCATTTATTTTTTGAGACAAAATCTCACTCCGTAGCCCAGGCTGGAGTGCAGTAGTGTGATCTCAGCTCACTGCAACCTCTGCATCCTGGGTTCAAGTGATTCTCCTGCCTCAGCCTCCTGAGTAGCTGGGATTACAGGTGCACAGCAACACACCCAGCTAATTTTTGTATTTTTAATAGAGACAGGGTTTCACCATGTTTCCCAGGCTGAACTCAAACTCCTGCATTTAAGCACTTCTCCCAATTCAACCTCCCAAAGTGCTGGGATCACAGGTGTGAACTACTGCATCCAGCATGCACATCTCTTTCACTGGCTGTTTCTGAGACATATCCTTTACAGTGAACCAGGAATAGGAAATTAACTGACCAGATGTGGTGGCTCACATCTGTAATCCCAGCACTTTAAGTGACTGAGGTGGGAGGATCGCTTGGGCCCAGGAATTTGTGGCCAGCCTGGGCAACAAAACAAGATCTCAACACTACAAAAAAAAAAAATAAATAAATAAAATAAAAGAAATTAGCCAGATGTGGTGGTGCAGGCATGCAGTCTCAGCTACTAGGGAGGGCGGAGGACCACTTGGACCCAGGCAGACAAGGCTGCAGTGAGCTATTACTGCAACACTGCACACCAGCCTGGGCAACAAAATGAGGCCATGTTTCTAAGAAAAAAAGAAAATAAACTGTTTTTCTGAGTTCTGTAAGCTGTTCCAGCAAGTGATTAAATCAAAGAAGGGGGTCATGAGAACCTCTGATTTGTAATAAGTTGGTCAAAAGTACAGGTGAAAACCTAATACTTGCCATTGGCATCTGAAATGAGGGTAGTCTCATGGGACTGAGCACCTAACTTGCAGGGTCTGTGTGAGCTCCAGGTAGTGTCAGAATAACATTTTGGGATACCCAGTTAATATCCAGAACACTGAAGAATTTGGTGTATAAGCTCCACACACACAATCAGTCAATTGAAGTGCGTGACTAGAGAGAAACACAGGCTTTCCTTTCACCTACCTGCCTAACTGCATAGGAGAAGCAATACGTGGTGCTCATGAGCAAAGCAAGCATTAAAGTCAAACCAGACCCTACACTTGACTCAGCTTAATATCCATGTGAACTTGGGCAAATCACTCATTATCCCTAAGTCTTTATCATCTCACTTATAAAATGGGGATAACTGTGGTACCTGCCTGTGATTTTGTGAGAATTCATGAAATATTATACTTGATGTTACTGTGATCATCATACTTATTTCAAACTATCTGACAAGGACAGTGATGGATGATAACATCACCAGATTAGAAACTGTTGTGAGGTCTCTCAGGCAAAATTCCATACAAGCAAATTACTATCTCTCCAAAGCATTCCTGCCACACTTAATTCCCCATTCCCTGAACCAAATGTGCCATCTTAATTGTCCAGGTCTTTACAGTGCTGGTTTCCCTGCCCATTCCCCATCCCTCCACATCCCCCTTCCCTCACCACTCTCACACAACTCTTCCTCATCTTTCAAAAGCTGGCTTCACTGTCCCCTTCTCTGGAAGCTTCTCCCACTCTCAAGAAGAGCTTCCCATTGCACTTGATGCATGCACTATTATTTGATCATTTTTAAGTTATTGTCCAAGTCTTTTTGTACCTGAATAACATGAGGCCCAGTCAGTCTCCTCCTGAACTCTGAAGTCTTTCATGGTAGCTCCAGCTGGAAGTGACAAAAAGACATTCTTTAAAAATAAAAGAAGGAATGACATGGACATCCATCCAATCCCATAAAAGTTTTAAAACGTATGTGAAAGGCAAACAAAATTCAAGAGCTTCTAGGAAAAACATAGGAGAGAAGGTGTTACTGGGAAATATGCTAAAGGGTTAATTTTTATTTTATTTTACTTTTTTGAGAAAGAATCTTGCTCTATCCCCTAGGCTGGACCACATTGGTACAATAACAGCTCACTGCAGCTTCAACCTCCAGGGCTTCAGCATTCTTCAAACCTAATTTTTATTTTATTTAAGAAATGCATTCTTACTGTTACCAAAGCTGGAGTGCAGTGGTGTGATCATAGCTTACTGCAGCCTCAACCACCTAGGCTCACGTGTTCCTCCAGTCTCAGACTCCCCAGTAGCTGGGACTACAGGTGTGCACTGCAATGTCCAGCTCATTTTATCTTTAATTTTTAGTAGAGACAAAGTGTTGCTATGTCAATGATGCTGGTGGTGATCCTTTTCCCTCAAGCAGTTCTCCCACCTCAGCCTTCCAAAGTGCTGGGATTACAGGTGTGTACTGCCACACCTGCTGAGGAGGTTAATTTTTAATGATATAAAGAGCTCAAGGCAAATATTAGAAGGAGCCTAAATGGCTATAGAGCCTGACTGGTCAATTGTGATATATCCATATAAAACATTATGTGACCATGAAAAGGATTCAGATAGATCAATAGATATTGACACAGATGTTCACGAAATATGAAAATGAGAAGTGATATTTAATTAGCCCATATGTATTTGAAGAATGTGGCCAATTATTTCCTGAGATAAGATTATAGGTCTGAAGAGTAAAGGAAAATTTTCACTTCTTTATTTAAAAGTATTTACTATTTTTATAGTTTAATAAAAGGTTAAATATATAGATCATCTAATTAGCAAAAGTCACATTAACTCTATAAATAAACAGAAAACACATGGACAACCCAGCCTTGGTGGCTGATGCTTATAATAGCAGCACTTTGGGAGGGGGCAGTGGGAGGATTGCTTGAGGCCAGGAATTCCAGAGCAGACTGGGAAACATAGCAAGACCTCGTCTCTACTAAAAATAAAAAAAAAAAATTAGCCAGGCATGGCGGCATGTGCCTATAATTCCAGTTACTGAGGTGGAAGGATCACCTGAGCCCAGGTGGTCAAGGCTGCAGTGAGTCGAGACTGTACCACTATACTCAAGCCTGGGATACAGAGTGAGACTTGGCCTCCCAAAAAAAGGAGGGGGGCAAAAAAGAAAGCTAGCTGGGCATGGTAGCTCACACCTGTAATCCCAGCACTTTAGGAGGCTGGTCAGTTGGATCACTTGAGGGAGAGAGTTCGAGACCAGCCTGACCAACATGGAGAAACCCTGTCTCTATTGAAAATACTTAGCCAGGTAGGGTGGCACATGCCTTTAATTCCAGCCACTCTGGAGACTGAGGCAATAGGATGGCTTGAATCTAAGAGAAGGAGGTTGCAGTGAGCAGAGATTGTGCCATTGCACTCCAGCCTAGGCAACAAGAATGAAACTTCATCTGAAAAAGAAAGAAATAAAGAAAGAAAGAAAGAAAGAGAGAAAGAAAGAAAGAGAAAGAAAGAAAGAAAGAAAGCTAATAAACTAATATAAGAAAATATATATTAAAATGTAACAAATATAAAGCATTATGAGGTCTTTTATTTATTAAAAATAATCAAAAAAAAAATAACTTATTATACCCTGTGCCAGCAAATGTGCAGTGAAATGGGCAGTTTCTTTTACTATTAGTGATGTTTAAATTGTATATAAGCCTTCCATCAGGGTAAAGCTTGGGAATTTTTAAAAAATAATACAGTGACTCACTGTACTGCCTCCTCCAACTCCTGGGCTCAAGCAGTCCTCCAACCCAGCCTCCCAAAGTGCTGGAATTACAGGCTGACAGCCACCATGCCTGAAAGCTCAGCAATTTACATCAAGTATAATAAGAATGCTAATGTCCTGTGACTCACAGTAATCTCATTTCTGGAAATATCATCTTTAGATATAATTCAACCTAAAGTAAAGGTCATATGCACAAACACAGTGAAAATCTAAGAGTAATATTTTTCTGTTTTAAAAACATACAGAACGCTTCACAAATTTGCATGTCATTCTTGCACAGAGGCCATGCTAATCTCTCTATTGTTCCAACTTTTGTATATGTGCTACTGAAGCAGGCATGAGTAATTTAAGATAGAGTGGTTAAGTGAAATAAGGAAGAGTTATGGGGAATTAAAAAATATATGGTATTTATAGACACCTAGTAACAGCTCAGTAAATATTAGCTGCTACTTTTATTATTTTTATGGTAATTCCACTCCATTAAAAATTGTCATTAAAAATTTACCACTTTCATGGAACATCATGTATTTAACAGTATAATTGTAAAAACAGTTAGAGGCTGGGTGTGGTGGCTCACACTTGTAATCTCAGCACATTGGGAGGCCAAGGCAGGTGGATCACCTGAGGTCAGGGGTTCGAGACTAGCCTGACCAACATGGAGAAACCCCATTTCTACTAAAAAATACAAAATTAGTCAGGTGTGGTGGTGCCTGTAATCCTAGCTACTCAGGAAGCTGAGAAAGAAGAATCACTTGAACCTGGGAGGTGGAGGTTGCGGTGAGCTGAGAGTGCACCATTGCTCTCCAGCCTGGGAAGAAAAGAGCAAAACTCAATCTCAAAAAAAAAGAAGTCCCAGCACAGTGACTCACAGCTGTAATGCCAGCACTTTGGGAGGCTGAGGCTGGGCAGATCACCTGAATTCAGGAGTTCAAGACCAGTCTGGCCAACATGGTGAAATCCCATCTCTACAAAAATATAAAAATTAGCTGGGCATGATGGCAAGTGCCTGTAATCTTAGCTTACTCTTACCCCTGGGAGGTGGAGGTTGCAGTGAGCTGAGATTGTGCCATTGCACTCTGGCCTAGGCAACAGAGCAAGACTGTCTCAAAAACAAAACAACAAAACAAACAATTTGTCCCTTGGTATATGGAGGGATTGGTTCCAGCTCCCCCGTATCTGTGTATATCAAAATCCATGCAAGCACCTGTAGTCCCAGCTACTTGTGAGGCAGAGGAAGGATTGCTTGAGCCCAGGAGGTTGAGGCTGCAGTGAGCCATAATTGCACCACTATACTCCAGTCTGGGCAACAGAGTGAGAAAGAGGGTTGACTTTTTAATATAATTTTTCGGTTCATGTGAGAATTTGTTCAGAACTGTGGCATATGAAAATTCTTCATAGAATAATTATCTAATCAAGTTAATGCTAGAATTGGGAACAGAAAATGTTTTGTTGACTTTATTCCTTCACTTGCTGTTATATAAACTATTGCCAGCAGGCACTTACCAACCAGAAGTGTTATCTCAGAGCTACTCACAATGAAAGGTGATGTCTAGGGCCCAGGTGTGTTGAAGTCTCCATGCCTTGGCTATGGGTGTTGAGTGGGACTTATTTGCCCATCCATTTTCTATATTCCAGCACTGGAAAACTTGGGTTTATCCATCTTGATAAGATGTAATTTAAATTTAACTTGGCAAGAACCACAAATGGAAGAAAGGTCATGAAACCACAGGATAGTACTTGTCCTCAGGGGACTCTTCAGCTTAGATGTTTCTGTGAAAAAGGAATAACATTGTTGAAAGCTCATCACAGGTCAGGTGAGGTGCCTCATATCTATAATCCCAGACTGCTGGGAGACTAAGGCAGAAGAATCCCATGAGGCCAAGTGTTCAAGATCAGCCTTGGCAACACAGTGAAACCTCATCTTTACAAAAAAATTAGAAAATGAGCTGGGTATGGCAGCACATTCCTGTAGTCTTAAGTGGAGGCTTAAGTGGGAGTATAGTTGAACCCAGAAAGTGGAAGCTGCTGTGAGCAATGATCTTACCACTACACTCCAGCCTGGGTGACAGAGTGAGACCATGTCTACACACATGCACACACACACACACACACCTCAGTCTGTCCAGCCTTGACTAATGAAAAGGGTCTTCTGGTTACAGAAGAGGTGTGCTCTTTTGTAGGCCAGGAAGGGACCAGCAAGCTTGTTCACAGCCTTTCCTCATCCTCTGCTTATTTTTCCAAGAACCTTCAAGGGAGTTACTAGGGAAAGGACCTAAATCTTCCAGTTGCCAGAGGAGAAATATGCCTGCTTTGTCAATTAATAAATGGAACACCTGCCATGAAAACCAGGAAGTTCTGCTAAGATGAACCACTCCCTACGACAGTGACCTATGCAGGAAACATGAGAAACTGGAGTCTGGGAAACAATAATATTGAAGGCCACATTCCAGATTGTGGAGATCTAACCAAAGTACAGCCTTTTCACAAGGTAATGTCAAATAACAGCTGGCTGTCTCCATGGGGCATTGCTGTATCTCTGGCTCTCATTTCCCTGGGAGATGCTCTATTCCAGCTTTCTCTTGCATGTTGTATTCCGTAGTTCCTGGTGTAAGACCTCACAAGAAAGCAAACTGCTGAGTCAATGCTGACCTACAGATCTGACTTCAGATTCCAGCAGGACTCTTTCGGTTTGAGAAATTAAAGAGGAGAAAATGGACCCAGCCTGGCAGTGACCAGCTTAGCAGTCCGAAGATAGAAGCTGCTCAAAATGACTACAGTGCCTCTGACTTTCTGAGTCTGCCCTTGCTCCTAGGGCTCTTTTGATGAGATTTATTTCTCCTTGTTGAAGAAATGGTTTGCTGGAATATAAAAAACTTAAAGAAGAAAAAAATATTAAAATATAATTTTCTCCTAAAGAACACTCAAAAGTACACTCCCACCAATGCTGGATCTATTTATCTCTCTCTTGTTTTTTTTTTTTTTTTCTGAGATAGGGTCTCACTCCGTTACCAAGACTGGAGCACAGTGGCAAGATCACAGCTCACAGCAGCTTTCAACTCCTGGGCTCAAGCGATCCTCCCACTTCAGCCTCCCAATTAGCAGGAATTACAGGTGCATGCCACCATGCCTAATTTTTTAAATTTTTTGTAGAGAAGGCTGCTATGTGGCCTAGGCTGCTCTTGAACTCCTAGATCAAACTAATCCTTCTGCCTTGGCCCCCCCCAAAGTGCTGGAATTATAGGCTTTAGGCACCACACCCAGTCTATTTATCTTTCTCTCTCTCTCTCTCTCTCTCTCTCTATATATATATATATATATATATATATATATATATATATATATATGCATACACACACATATACATATATAAAATCTCATATATTAAATGTTCCTCCTTAAATCACCTCCTACCCACCCATCTGCAGGGAGAGCATACACAGGTCTCAGCAGATCAGGCAAACTACACCAAGAAAGGAGGCTGGAGTAATGCCAGAAACCAGGAGGAACTGTAGCAAATGGCAAGGTATTCACTTCAAAGGTTTTTCAACACTGCGATGGTCAAACCAAACACAGAAACAGGAAGCCCAGTTCAGTCACCAGAAGCCAATATGGGATATTTGATCTACATGCTACAGGGCAAACTGTTTAGGATGAATGACCTGGTCTCCACCACCCTGTTCTTCAAGTCCCTCCTGCCCAGTAGTCCCTACACTCTGCTGACATGACCCACATTCACAGGACTCTCCTGACACCTTTGCTTGTTTAAGTCTTTTTTCCCCAATGAATATTTTCTTTTCTTTTTTTTTCCTTTTTGGATACAGAGTTCACCTCTGTCACACAGGGTTGAAGTAAAGTGAGTTGATTATGACTCACTGCAGATTCCATCTCCTGGGCTCAAGTGATCTTGCCTTCCGAGTAGTTGGGATTACAAGCATGTACCACCATACCTAGTTAAGTTTATTATGATGATTATTATTATTTTGAGATGGAGTCTCATTCTATCATCCAGGCTGCAGTGAAGTGGCACAATGTGGGCTCACTGCAACCCCAGCCTCCCGGGTTCAAGTAATTCTCCTGCCCCAGTCTCCTGAGTAGCTGGGATTACAGACATGCACTAGCAAGCCCAGCAAATTTTTGTATTTTTAGTAGAAATGGGGTTTCACCATGTTGGCCAGGATGGTCTCAATCCCTTGACCTCGTGATCTGCCTGCCTCGGCTTCCCAAAGTGCTGGGATTACAGGCATGAGCTGCTGTGCCTGGCCAACCTTTTTTGTTTATAAACTACTGAGCCTCACATGTATGCTTATAACAATGCAAAATAGACTAATATAGCATTCGTATGCCAACACTTACCAGACTGTGAGGAGCACAATGACAAAAGTTGAGTGGGACTGAAATGCTCCCAAGGGGCTTCTTGTCACATCACAGAGAATGGGGTGAGACACCTCAGCTGAGGCTAAAGATGAGCAAAGATGAGAGTCAAAGAGTGATGATGAGGGTTGGGGATGGTTTCCTGAAGAAGGACCGGTAAAGTCCCCCAAGGAAACTGACATTCTATGTGGCTGGAGGGTAAGGATATGGGGAGGGTGGTGCAGGATAAAACTGGGAAGGTAAGCCAAGGCCAGCTCTTACCAGGTCCTGTGGCCAAATTAGTTTGGATTTTATCTTAAAGGCAATGGGTGGTCGCCAGCAGGTTTTAATCAAGACCATTTTGACCCAAATTTGCCTTTTAGAAAAATTCCTCTGGCTTCAGTGTATAGGCTGAAGTGAGCAAGCCTAGAAGTCAGGAAGAAAATTGGAGGCCTTTGCAATAAACCAGCACAAAAGAAAACAGGGCTGGGCATGGTGGCTGCTGCCTATAACCTCAAAACTTTAGAAGTCTAAGGTGGATGGATGTCTTGAGCCCAGGAGTTTAAGACCAGCCTGAGCAATGTGGTAAAACCACATCTCTACAAAAACACAAAATATTAGTTGGTTGTGGTGGCTTGTACCTGTGGTTGTACCTCAGCTACCCCAGAGGCTGAGGCAGGAGGATAGCTTAAGCCCGGGAGGTTGAGACTGCAGTGAGCCAAGATCACACCATTGTGCTCCAGCCTGGGCAACAGAGGGAGACTGTCTCAAAAAGAAAAAGAATCCCATTATTCACCTATTAGTCCCCCAATGTTCTCAAGAGAACCTTGGTGATGCAGTGAATTCAACTGTCATTGTAATTCAGAAATTCACACATTTAAGTTTGTGTTTGATTTTCAGTAATATCAACCCTGTGGATACAAGAAATAAGGAATTGTATTTGGGCTATCATGGAAGCTCTCTGGATCTTAGACCATGATTTATGCTAAGACTTTAGCTTTGTGTTTTTCTCTCTGTGAGTGCTCAAGTGCAGCAGTCCCCAGTTTTTTTTTTGGCACCAGGGACCAATATTATAGAAGACAATTTTTCCACAGACTGGGGTCAGGGGGTCAGTTTTGGAATATTTCAAGCACATTACAATGTGCACTTTGTTATTATTACATTGTAGTATATAATAATTATATAACTCACCATACAATCAGTGGGAGTCCTGAGCTTGTTTGTTTTCCTGCAACTAGACGGTTCCATCTGGGGGTGATGAAAGATAGTGATATATTATCAGGCATTAGATTCTCATAAGGACAGAGCAAGGTAGAACCCTTGCATTCACAGTTATACAATAGGGTTCCTGCTTCCATGAGAATCTAATGCTGCCACTGACCTGACAGGAGGTGGAGATCAGGCAGCAAAGAGGGGAGTGGCTGTAAATACAGATGAAGCTTTGCTTGCCCACCTGCTGCTCACCTCCTGCTGTGTGACCAAGTACAGGCCTGTGATTCAGGGATTAGGTATGCCTACTCAATTGCATCCAAAAGGAACCCTCCCCACACCAGTCTTCATAGTGGTCAAGTACAGAAGCCACTTAGCTCCTAAGGCATGTGTCTCAGCTGGCATTTCATCACAATCATCAGTAAGTGATAGTTTGAAACATTATGAGATCACTTCCTAAAAATCACCAGAATTCCATTTCCCATTGACAAGGAGCTAAACACTGCCCCTTGGATAACCAAACCTACCTATGCTCAAATCCCATTTGTGTGGGTCTTTCTCCCAGAACCCTTCCTAGCATCAGTTCTGTATTTGTCAGAGTCCAATCAAAAGACGTAAATCACCCAAAGTTTAAAGTGGTAAAATTTAAAATAAAAAAAATAGTTAATTATATAACATGGGAATACCATATGAGAGATTGGCTACAAAAGTAAAGAGAATTCTAGAGAACATAGGGCTAGCAGAGGCCAGACATGGTGGCTTATGCTTATAATTCCAGCAATTTGGGAAGCCAAGGCAGGAGGATTGCTTGAGGCCAGCAATTTGAGACCACCCTAAAAAACACAGTGAGACCCTGGCTCAACAAAAAAAAAAAAAAAAAAAGCCAGGTGTGGTGGCACACACTTGTATTCCTAGTTACTTGGAAGGCTGAGGTGAAAAACATTTCTTCAGCTCAGGAGGTTAAGTCTGCGGTGAGCCATGATTTCACCACTGCACTTTAGACTAGGCAAAAGAGAGAGACCCTGCCTCAGAAAAACAAAGTATAGGACCAGCTGTTACAATGAGCAGTAACTTCCTACTCTCTCCACACTGAGGTAGAGTAACCAAGGAAGGGGTTCCCCACTAAGGCTGAGATCCAGGCCCCCTTTGAGAGGGCACAGTCATGGGTAATTCAATGGCAGAATTGCTGCATTACCACATGGTGAAACATGATAGCAATATGCCCTCTGGAATTTGCTGAAAATCCACCATCTAGGGTGCTAGCTTAACCTACTAGTAAACAGTTGTCTCACTACAAAACCAACCAGGCAAATGTAGAGAAACTGCTGGTCACTGTTTGCTGCTAAGCCCCATGCAAGGCAGGAGCCTTGTGCTGGAGAAGCTCAGTGCCTGTGGAGATTTGCACACAACTAGAAAGAAAAGCCTCTTATAATGCCCCTCTAGCACCATGTCCTGACAACATTTAATACTGCACTAGTTGACAGAGGAATCATTTAAGGAAACCACCTCTATGTTTGCAGAGCAGGCAGTGACGGATGAATTTGGAACTGAGGGGCAGACATTGGATGAATAGCTGGTACATGACACATTTCCATCTACGAAAGAAGAAAGAAAAGAGAGAAAAATGAGAAAAAATCAAGCATGGTGGTTCACACCTGTAATTGCAGCAGTTTGAAAGGACAAGGCAAGTGAATCACTTAGGTCCAGGAGTTTGAAACTAGCCTGGGTGACATAGAGAAATCCTGTCTCCACTAAAAATAAAAAAAATTAGCTGAGTGTGGTGGCATGTGCTGTAGTCCCAACTTCTCAAGAGGCTCCTGGGTTCAAGCAATTCACCTGCCTCAGCCTCCCAAGTAGTGGGGATTACAAGTACACACCACCACACTCAGCTAACTTTTGTATTTTTAGTAAAGACAGGATTTCACCATGTTGGCCACATCAGTCTCAAACTCCTGACCTCATGATCTACCCACCTCAGCCTCCCAAAAGCTTCTGCTCTGTCTTTGCCCACTTAATCTAAGAAAACTAAGCTAAAATAAATTTTGTAACCAAACCAAAATGAAGCTAAGTGGTGTGGCTACTATAATCAAAAGACTTGAAATTCCCTTGACCCAAAAATAACTATCTGGAAGCCAAGAATGACTATTTGGAAGTCAGCATCATCAGAGTACATTTCAGAGGAAAACTAGAATATGTCAGTGTAAACTATGAAAGTCCAGAGACTTTGTTTGAGTAAAACTAGGTGCAGAAAAACCATGGGCTCCATGCATGATTGGTATTGTAAAAGAGGCCACAGGGAGTAGAATTAAATATAACACCCTCAGCCAGGTGCAGTGGCCTCACACCTGTAATCCCAACATTTTGTGAGGCCAAGGTGGGCAGATCGATTGAGGTCAGGAGTTTGAGAGGAGCCTGGCCAACATGGTAAAACCTCATCTATACTAAAAATATAAAAATTAGCCAGGCGTGGTGGCAGGTGCCTGTGATCCCAGCTACTTGGGAGGCTGAGGCAGGAGAATCACTTGAACCCAGGAGGCAAAGGTTGCAGTGAGCTGAGATCACACCACTACACTCCAGCCTGGGCAACAGAATAAAATTCCATCGGCAAAGCTTCTTCTAAACTCAATTTAAGACACCATGTACCACAAACCAGATAGCAAGAAATTAAATAAATTTTAGCCTTTTCATGCCATCCAATTACATCTTGGTCAGTTCACAAACATGTTTTGGCAAATGCTGGAGTTTTTCTCTTTAGGAGTCCTCTCTCACTTTACCCTGCTTAACAAAAGACTTCACACACAAAAAGAATGGAGACAGCCCAGCTTCAGGACATGCTACACAGAGAGAATTGACTGTCCCAAAAAGAGAGGGCTCCACACCCCTCTGACAACTCCACAATAGACCAGCTACACACAAATGCCTGAAGTAAGGAAGTCCATCAAGAATATGAACAGTTGGTGAGATCAAGACTTCTGACCCAAAGGGCCTGCAGCTGGTCTCACGGTTCAACAAAAAGTCTGAATTTAAACGGAGACATATTGGACTGTGACATGCAATAAAAGAACTGAAGCAGCAAAGGGTCAATTTGGGTTTCCTTTCCACTGTATACGGCTCCAGAGAATGGAGAAGTGAGCGTGCCTGTGGTAATCCTAACACATCTGGGATATTTCCCATCAACAGTGGTCAACCTTTGGGATCATCCACACATTGCAAGGTCATTGTCCATCTGTGCTAACCTAGAATGTCCAGATAAAAGCTTCTGTTTAGAGACTGAAGAGAAAAATGTCAAACTTGAAAGCCCACAAACTGTCTCAGCCAGGGGGAACACATGAAGGAAACCCTACAGAATCTGACATCAGAAGCCTAATGTCAGGTTGACCTCTAAAGATTTAGCATTGTGAGTAATCAACTTATTTTCTCTAGGCTCTGTTATTCTCATATCAATAAAGAGAAAAGTAGACTGAATAGTCTCCCAGATCAATTCCAATCTTAACATCCTCTGGCTTTATGATTAAAGAATGATACTAATTAATAAGGTTAAAACTGTGACTTAACCCCAATAGGAGCCTGCTGGGATTATGCTAAGCAAAACTAGTCCACACAGACAGAGTCATTCTGACCACATCCCTCCCTACACCAGCTATCATACAGATATGCACCACTAGTATGAGAAGTCCCTTCCACAGAAGACTGACTGATTCAATAATAGGCTGATTTATTCATTCAAATGACAAATATTTACTGAGCACCTTCTAGGTATTTAGGGTTACAACAGAACAAAACAGACAAAATCCCTTCCCTTACTTACACTTTAGTGAAGGAGGAGGGTGAGTCAGACATCAAATAGAAAATATAATTAAAGATATATTTTATGCAGGGCAGTGCTGGGATTCACTCAGGGTGGCTGGAAAAATATTAAGGGAAATATTAGGGAAGTATAGAATATAGTCTCAAACCTTTGGGAAGCTGAAAAGTATTAATGAGCCAGGCTGAAGACAGCCAGTTCTTACATTTGAGGTTTAAGTCATAAGGTGAAGATTAAGATAATAAAACTTCCCTGGTTAAGTCTGTTTACCCCACATTCCTTTTTCTCTACTCTGTTTACTCATGTAAACTTCATGCTAGCTGGTCCTCTAAGGGGGAGGTTGAAAAAGAATTACTTCTTAATGGTGTTTATTCTGGACCTCAGAAACAAAAGTTTTTATTATTCTTAACCACTCTTTTAGCCATGTTAATTATCCACAAGCATGTTAACTTAAAATATCTGTTATTACTACTTCTATACTGAATAAATGCAAGAATGAACAAGGAGTCAATTAGCTGCAATCACTCTCTAAAAGTTGATGACCCCCTAGCCCAACTCTTACAGTGTATTCTGTATGTAAGGGCATATT